AAATTGACACAAATTTCCGCATATATGTAAGTTTGGATAGCACATAAAATGCATATTTTTTAAAATGTCACCTAAGGGTGCCTGAGATTCTGGGCTGCCTAGGCATTGGGGGCCCTAGGCCAGGCCGGCTGCCTACCGCATTTTGGAACCTTTCTTTAGTACAACCATCCATCAGCCCCCACCTTTTTCTTTTTTAGAAAGATGAAAATACCATAGAATGCAGCTTCCTAATCTTTGCTTCTTGTTTCTAAAACCCGGAAGCAAAAAGAATTATACAACAGGTGAGTTATCGGACTCATACTTAGAATTAACAAGCAAAGAAGGTAAAGGTACACACCACACAAAGAAGCTGCCTTTTTCCAGGGGCCTCAGGACCATGATTACCAAATTTCGCTTCCAACACCACAATCAAAGCAACATTGTCCTACACATGAACAAAAAGTATGAGAAAAAGAACTCTAGAAAACAGAACCACGGAGTAGAGGAGATAAATCTCTTCCAGCACATGAGAGAAAAAAAAGAGAGAGAAAGTCCTTGACCAAACCACCTTAAGCAGCCGGTTGAGAGCATTTTTCCTCTGAGCGACAGGAACCACAGCCTCAGTTAAAGATTGAGCCGCCTTATTGAACTCAACCTGCAGACGAGTTGTATAAATCTTTATCACTCTCCTAAAATTTTGTTTCACTAAGGACATATACGAAAAGCCGCTTAGCAAATTTAAGGTCAGACAAAATATCCTCCAGTATTGAATCAATGAATCATATATACCTCGTATTTTTTAACTAAGGAAAACCGGTCTCGGCGGAAAAAAGTTGCACAACCATCAATTGCATAAACAGTGCCAGTGTAAACCTGCAAAACAATTAGATGTTATTTCAGATACCTCAAAAAAAAACAAAAAAAAGCCATACAATCTACAAAGTTCAAAACTTCCATAAGCAACATGAGTGGCTATAACAACCTCAGCTGTCTTTCTTTTGTACACAGCCGTATAGCCATGTTTCTCAAGTTCTGGTGCAAAATACTCTTCAAAATGGTCACTTTGAACCTGAAAATCAGATATCCAACAACACTCATAAGCTCCTTTTTCTAGTTAACTCCTAACTCCTAAGGCCTTAGCGCCCCTCCCCTTTCCCCAAAAAAAAAACAAAGAAAAAAAACACAACACACACACACAAAAAAAAGGTCTTAAGTGCATGGCTTCCTACAAATGCAATTTGGCACGTTATGTAGAGATCCCAAATAATTGGGATAACGCTTGGATGATGATGACGATGACGACGCTGATGTAGAGATCCAAGAGAAGTCCTAAGTGCTCACTGAATATGAAGATTTTAGCAGCTCTGATGGGGCCACAAGTATGAAGTTTTCGGGTTTCTTTTCTCTTTTATCCTTGTCAAGCTTGAACACTACAAAGACCATCACTTCAGAATTGTGTATCTGATATGAAGCACATATCAGATACACAATGTGTTTCAGCTTTGAAGTATTCTAGTTTAGGCTCATTTTCAGTACATTTAGGTTGTATTGTCTACCGTCTACAAAGCACAGAACAAGATTTCCGTTCTTGTCAGTTCTTCGTATGCTCCATGTGCATGGGAAGCACATTTAGGTGATTTTTCATTGCACTAAGATTCTATCTTAAGTTGTTTACGTTCCTCATATATCATCTCAGATCTAGTAAGCAGCTGCAAAGGGGACCATTAGAGATTGACACTTTGTTGTCAATAAGGCAATTTGTAACCACAATATCTTACTGTGACAGTATAATTGAAACCCTTTAAGGTAATTTGTTGTATTATATGTGCAATAGGTAGTATAAAACTAGTTTGCCTCAAATGAAACATAAGACATTTTGACATGCAAAGACATATTCTCATGTTTAGGGGTGTGATTAAAAAGTTCAATGGACCAGATCTCACCAAAATACCAATATAACAGTTATGCCACAAAGAAGCATAAAATGGAGTAACTTAAAAACCTTATGTTGCATGCTTGCTTACCAACCAAACATCTAAAGAGCGAGTATACTGACTACGGAAAACTGGTCATCATGGATCCAATGAAATAATGCATGATAACAGTGAGAGTGAAACCATTCTGGTGGGTCCAGCCGTCCATAACCCTCCATAAATGGCCCCAATGACCCATGTTTTCCATAGTTCATCAGCTTATAGTGTACTTTCCCAAACAAATACATGCACAAAAACATATATGGTGGACATTTGTGCATGATCTCCGTAAGAAACATTTGATGAATGTACCTCTTGAAGACACAGAATGTCCGCATGATAACCCACTATCTCCCTTAAAAGGTTTTGCCTTCGATAAGTCCATGACAGGGCCCATGATGGGCAATAGCTGTATACATCATTTGCAGCATAAACATCTGCAAGAATATTATAAGAGAGCACTGTAAAGGATCCTGAAGTACCCCGACCATCTGAATCCAAATGCCCAACTAGGTCAACCCCGCTAACTGGAATCAAGCGCCTTGGAGTAGGTGAAGGTGCAGGGATAACCCTTGAAGTCAAAAGGGTACTCACAGGTCCCACTGATATTCTAGTATCAGCATCTATTGCTACACATTCTAACTTGAGAACGTGCCCTATATCATCAGCACTTGGTGTATAAGTCTTCGAGCGCCCCACCTCAACCCAAGCCTCACCACTAGTTCTATCAGAAGTGGCCGAAGAATAAATAGGAGTGGAACCATTGTTCATGATAGGGCTTGGATTTGTGGCTGATGTTGAACTAGAGAGTGATGGATTGGTCACAACAGCACCACTACTATTAAACCGATACAGCTCCTCCTCTTCAGTCCCATTTTCATTTAGAGCATTTGCTGCACGTTCATGCAAAGCACGATGATGTTGCCATGCATCTGAAAAGCATTTTGACGAACAGTGGTAACTCTTGGTAATTGGAATTTTTGCTTTCACACAGCCTAGACACTGCAAAGTTGCCTGCTCGGATGGGTGTACACTGCACACTGCAACTTTTTTGTCACTCTGCATACGGTACCTACGAAAGAGAGAGAGAGAGAGAGAAAGAACAATGACAGTAACCCATGTCAGCTAAATACTGATATTTTTTCCCCAACAGCCAATAACAAGAGAAAATGGAAAACTCAATTCCATGGTGAATAAATCTCAACATGGCATCGGTAGTAATACAGTGACCAATTTAAGATATTTTGCTCAATATGCTACTTGCATTTCCATAAAGTAAAATGTGGATGATTGTGTGGCTAAGATATGAAAATAAAAAGTGGTTATCTTTTCTGTAAGGAAAATAACCAAATTAATATAGTAATTGAGATTTTGTTCATTTATTTTTGGGGCCGGCTCCAGTGGCCCACAGACAAACGATAAACACATTGGTGCCAATGGATTGGTGGAGAGAGTGACGGAGGGCTCTCCAAGATTTGGACTAAGGTAATAACAGAGCTCTCAATCCTATGACCGGAAGTGACAGCCAATTTCTTCACAATGGGCAATCAACCTATATAATAATTTGCGTTTATTTTCCCCCTTTTCTGGGTGATAGCTCCATAAAAGAAGTTCAAAAAAGCATACATATGGTGGCAATTTGTATTAAATTCCCAAATGGGTCTTAGTTACCAACAAATTTTCCAACTTCTCTGGCACAAAACTTTATTTCTTGGGCCCTTGATTTATGTTCAAAGGATTATCAAGAGATATTGTTATGCATACGTAACCATCCCAAGTCTCTGCTCCTCCCCAGAACTGTCTGTGCATGGACTCGAAGAATTTTCTGTCAGTGTGATCATAGGACTCTTCCATGTGATTCTAATAAAACACACAGCACTCCAGATTCATACCTCAAATCAATAATTTTGTGAACAACCGAGACTCCTTCCAAGATCTATTTCTCTTTCACACAATGCACTTGGCTGGGGAAATGATTAATAGCATAATGAGGTCCTATCTCTGGTCAAGCTGACTAGTTCATATTAAACTTCCTTCTTTATAACTTGTCAGTCCAACCACAAAGCAGCTCTAGGTTCATTTCCTTGAGTTCTAAATATTTACGGTGGGTAACCAGTCCTTAACATAACCCAATCACTCGCCTACAGATTCCATCCCTTATCACTGGGGCCACTTCCCTCATAGTGATCATGTTGAGATGTTGTTGCCCAAGCAGGTATAAGCAGTAGACGGCAAAACATGGCTACTCTTATCACATGCTTTGAAGTTTGAACCATAACGCCCCGAATATTTGTCTCCAACTATATACCTCGCTCTCAAATTTGACCCTCTCTAATTCTGTTTTCGTAAAATTTGTCTGATACCTCCATGTTGCCTTGATCCCCCATTCACACTAGAAGCTTCCAAGTATTGATGTTTTTAGATACATATTATTCCAGACTAAAAGCTTCCAGTTAACCATTCTGAGCTTCTTATAGACCCATAGGGTCTATGTTTGTCAAGTGCTTAACCCACTATTTTCATAAGTTCTTTAAAACGAGATGCTTGAGCCCCATGTAAGTTAAATATGATCAGGTCTCAATTGTGCCAATTTTTCATCCGAATCCAGACAATTATTAATTATTCTCAAACCAGATTCACTCAACAGTTGGTTCAAGTAAAGAATGAACCTCCTGGGGAAGTTCAATTGAGGCATACAGATGTCGTGCTAATGTAGGAGCTAGCCTTTCTTTCACGGGAAACCTACGGTGTTGTGGCTACATTAAATTACTAAGGGGTGCCATAAAAAGAATTCTCACTTCAGCCCTCCACTGAAAAATCTTCACAGAATTCTGGTATATTTGAACCACATGTATCAGTCAACATCCATCCACCCCAACCAGTTTCATCAACCTCCCGTTGATCGTGCTCCCAACAAAATAAGACTTGCTCCAAGGTCCCACATACATCACTGATTAGTTTTGACTGTAGAGGCTGTCTACTCAATGTTGCTCTAGTACAGAAGCTATCTCTCAAACACACCATAAAATTCTGTTTAGACAAAGGTTTTTTTAACTCTACTTGGCAACCAACCTGGCCAAGTTACTCGAGCAGAGTTTCAGTCGACTCACCCGAGTCCGTGACAAATTGGAAAATGCCTAAGAAAAAGTTTAAAAAATAAGGAAACATATATAAAAAAAAACTATAAAAATCAAGAATAACAAAGAAAATAATAAACAATAGAAAATGCATATAAAAGTTGAGAAAAGTTTCAAAAAGTAAAAAAGAAAAAAACAGTTTAAAGACTATTTTCTCAGAAAAATTAGAAAATATAGAAAAATAAGAAAATATAAAAAAAGATAAAACCCTAAAAGTATAAACAAAACTAAATATATTATTAGTATAGTATTTTTGAGAACAGTTAACATTTATATTGAAATGAAGGAGAGACATACAAGCAGTTGTCCAGGGAGCCTTTGGACCCCCGGCAAAAAGGAATGGGTCAGAAGACCATATACAAAAACCAAAATGGGTTATAAACTCCCCTTACAGTGGTATTAGAAATGCCAAAAAATGGGTTATTATTAGTATAGTATTAGAAAATAAAACTTTTCGTCAAGGAAAGATCTTTCCTTCGAGGCTCAAGGGATAAAAAACATTTCTTTTCCCTTCCTGTTAGATCAAAACAAGCTTCTAGAGCTATCAGAGATAATTCTTTGATTCTTTAACTTCAATGAAATTGAAATCAAAATAATACAATAAAAAATAGTATAAGTAATTTTCAATGGATTTAATAGAAAACATCTCTTATGCCCTCTCCTATCCTTCCTAGGCGTCCACATGATTGGGAGGTCACCATAATTACAAAAGGATATTTGAACTAAAACACCCATGCAATGAAAATCCATTTAGTATATGAAACACCAGTGCATTACAATCTCTAAAACAAATGTGTGCAGGCACCCATGCAAAATGGGTATTTGAAATTTAGGTCTGGATATTCGTCCTTTTACTTGGAGAATCATTTCTACCAAAGAAATAGCAATTCCTCACTAGTTAACTAACTACATTAGCATTAGACTTAAATTATCTGGTGTAATCATATCACATAAGAAACTAGCTGCATAAATATAAAGTTGTCAATATAGATGTCCCAGACTTCCTGATCAAAAATATACTAAGACCCTCAACCATTTCAATCAAAGGCCACTAAGCTGCAGTACTTCTTCAAGCCAGGTTCGACTCCTCTGTCTCCCTAAGAAAATCCACCTACATCATGTTTGTCATAATATATGTGAATTAAAGTATTGATTGATGGGAATTCCATAGTAAAAACATGTTAAAATTTGCATACAAATGTATTAAACGTGAGGATAAAGGATGCAATTGTACATTTTCAGAAATTGAACAGTCATCTCACTTTCTTAACAAAATATGAGAATTATTGGAATAATATGACTAATTACTTGTTTTACAAAGGCAGCAATCAAGCAAAATCAGAACCCAGCTTGTATTCAGGATATATTCTTGGTTGCTCTACAGGAACTAGATGAGATCTCCAGTATAAGACATAACTAGATGAAGCTGATAAGTGATACATCCAAAAATTGGAGAGAGAAACATTAACTGAGTATCCAACAGATGGAAATCTCATCCCTGATAGCAAAATACTAATGTCGTAACTCAAGTAGTCAAATCCTCAACAGATGGAAGCATTAAAAGGGATTAAAGAAAAAAAATGAGAAAGAGGACAGATTGCCAGACATCTGGTGATAGAAGTATGGGTTCTAGAATGGGGCATCTGCATGGCACATGCATAACTGAAACATCATCTGAAAACATTATATACAATGCTGGAAGTGGCCACTAATTCCATGCCTTTTTCTTTTTTTTTATTGTAGAAAATACAACCCTTCATGTAATGTGGAAATGGTATGCCCCTCTAGATCTTCATCACCCAGTCAAAATAAAAATATAATAAACCTTGTATCATATTGAAAGAAGAGAGCATAAAGAGTTGCTCTTTTTTCTTCAAAGAAAAAATTGTATAAATTAATATTCAAAGGCTTCCTCTCTTTCTGAATGTTAAAGAGACCTGTATTATTGGGCTCCGACCGGCCACCAAACCAGAGAGAGGTTTGGACTAGTCAAAACCAGTCCAACCACTATTTAACATGGTTGGACAGGATTTTAGAGAAAGAAAAAAGAAAAAATAGTTTAAAAATGTAAAATCTATTAAAAAAAATTTCCAACTGCATTTAGCTAGTCGAACCGGTTAAAACTAGCTAGTCTTAGCCGGTCGAATGGTTAAAACCGGCTGGCATGAGAAGCCAAAATTGGTCAATCGTCACTTATGACTAATTTTCCATCAAACCTGATTTCTACCTTGGACCTGACCGGCCAAGGCATCAGTCAGCAATCGGACCACTATTTCGTTTTGGTCTTGATAACTATAAAAGAGGCTTGCTTCACTAACATGGGTATAACGAATCAACTCCAATAACAAACATCCCTCACAAATTCCTATATATGCCATCTTAACTCCTTGCAGTAAAATAATTTAAAGTTATTAGTCCATACATTGTATTCAAAATCTCACAAGAATTTCCCTAAAAAATTAAATTTTCTAAATGTACACACGCTTTGAAATTAAAAAATTACATTCACAGACCCACACTAGGATTTGGTTGGTATGGCAACCGGTACTGGTAACTGTACACTAGGGCAAAACGATATCATGTGTGCTTTGTTTACATGCATCATTTAGTTACATGTTTGATTGGGTATAGTATCAGTACAGACACATGTAGAACATCGATAACAATCAGTATCTAGCTGCAAAGTGGTGGAGAGGTTTAGTTAAGCATGTAATGGGGGCTAGACAAGCATAGAGAGAGGGGGGGGTAATATTGCAAGAAGGATCCAAGGGTTCTAAGGAGGCCTAGTTCAAAAAGAAATTTGATGAAGAGAAGGGAATGGGGTGTACAAATGAGGAGCAAGATTGGTGAGACATCATTTGCATAAAGGTTCAAACATCGAAGTTTGTAACAAGAACAAATTGAGCTGACCTACCAACAATCGTAGGAAGAGTTTACTACGAAAGCTAGAAAAGACTCTAAATTGAAGTGATTGGGAAGACAATGAACCCATGGTCACTACCTAGACCCATCAATATATATCATTTATTTCCCATCATACCCGGTCCCTATGATAATGAGTATTTACGTCGAGGACTAGTACAAAACATCAGGGAAATGCTTTGGAAATTTATGCCAGTAGCTCTAGAAACATGTTTCAAATTTCGCTAGGAATTGCTTCAAGTATCTCAAGAATCCATATCTAGTAATACTAGAAAATGTTTCCAAACCACTAGAGAACCATCTTTTGTCCCGCAACAGCTTCCTACTCAATGCTCTTATAGTTTATAGTTGATACACATATGGATTAATCTGAATTCTTTTTTCTATTGGATTTTGGATACTCCGGACTTGTGCACCTACACTAGATTAAACATTTTTTATACTAGCAAGATTTGGGTAAATTTGGGTTCAAGCCCATGACTCAATTGGATGCACTGGTTGCAACCTTGAGGTTTTGGCTTCCAAGTTTGAGTCCATCTTTCCTAACTCTGCCATGGCCGGTCCCCAGCTCAGTGAAAGGATCTTGATCAAAATGTTATACGTGCATGCTAGGGCATTCCCTATAAGCGAAGCATTATACCAGCACCCGAGTGCAATGAGAAATGAGCAAGGGTTAGGATGGAAGTAGTGAGAAGAGATATAGTGACCCATGGTTAGACTCGGGGTATGGCTCTTAATAAAGCGGAATAGTTGAACAGGATTCGTGTAGCCGACCCCAAATAGTTGGGATTAGGCTCAAATGATAATCATAACGATGACAAGATTTGGGTAGATCTTGTGAATAAGTCCTCTAATTAGGAGTAATCATTAAGGCCTTACTCAAAAGTGATGACAATCGTGTCATTCTTACATGAGGATTTTCGGAGTTGTCACGACCAAATATATGAGAACGAAGGCAATGCATTTGCATACGCATATTAAATATGTTTTAACTTCATTACTATGGGAATAGGGATACAGGCATTAGTATGTTGAAGATGTCAAAGCAATCATCACACAGTGTAATTACAGTAAACCCATCAAGTATCAAGATAAAATTACATAATTAAGATTACATGGCAAAAACAGGACGGGAGTGACCTAGCAAAGCCCGGGCCAACCTAGCCAAAGAAAATGTGATACCAATAGAAAACATGCTTGGATATTCAGTTAAAAAAGTCCCTACTCCCTAGTGCAGATTATCAATATGAGGCATAGTTATTTACCTAATTCCCATATGTTGTCCCAAATTATACCTTGTGTCATTCCTCCCTCGTGTCATCGCTCCCTCACACTCACACCCCTCACACTCACACTCTGTATCAGTAAATAATAGTGGTCCTAGAATTTAAAGGGTTCAAGTGATTTAGGGTATTCAATCGTCAAGACCATGATATCCTCGATTGACCCTTTTTATGGCATAAATGCATTTATCATTAGCATTCAACATACATATGCGCAATTCCCACCTATTTGCACATACACAATTCAAACCTATTACATGAAGAGGTCAGTTCGATTCAAGCAAGGCATAAAAACGAAACAGCACAAAGGTTCACTTATAAAAGCACAAGACTGTGAAGTGATAAGAATTTCTATATCCAGTGATTGACTACCCTGAATCAGCTATCCCATGCCATGTTCAACTCACAAGTACAGTAATCCTAATCTCCAAATCAACAAAAATGAAACCAAGAGGAAAGTTCACAGGAATACAAAACAGGGAACAAAAAGCCTGAAACCCCAAACGCAAGAGACAGTGCGTGTGTCCAATTGAAAAATAAAAAAAAAAGAAACCCAGAACAAGCGACAGTGAAGGGGGGAGGGGGTAGAAATCAACTCATCACTTGTTCTAGAGAGAGAAAAACTCAAAAGGCCACAACAAGAGACAGAGATATATAGATAGAGAGAAAGGGAAATCAAAACCTACCATTTGTACCTCAGGTAGAACCCATCTACCGGCTCTGGTTCAAGGGCATCATCAGTGGTGATGGAGTTATCAGCGCGTCTCAAAAGCACATAAGGTGTGAGCTCACACCCCACGATAGGTATATCAGACGGGAGATGAACGCGAAGAACACTCAGCATGCTTCTGATCCAAACAATACAAATAACAATCCTCCTCCTCTTTCTTCCCTCCCTATTCCTCTTCTCGACCCCGACAAAATACCAGAGAAAAAAAAACCACCACCACTATCACAGGAATAACTAGTAAAACATAGGCGGAAACCAGGCGGATCCGCCATTACTTTACCTTGAACTCCGCCAGTTTTCGCATCAATGGAAAGCCAACACCTGCAAATGTCTCAGATGAAGAGAACCAGTCTCTCTAACCCCAAAAACTAGAAGACCCAATAGTAGAGAGAGAGAGAGAGAGAGAGAGAGA